TTGGTGTAGTTCTGTATACCAGGGATGGTAAATGACCAGGCCATTTACTCAAAATTTAAATGACAAAGTTATTTGAGTAAATTAACCGGTCATTTAAGTCATTTACATGTGAAGTAATTGTATTGGTCAGATACCTAGTATAAAAAGTTATCAAACGTTGTGATTTCATTAATCAATGATCGTAGCTACACAAAGTCAAAATTTTACTAGGTTAATCAATATTTATACCTTCAGTAAAGTTGTTCAGGAGAACAACTTATGTCGATTAAAATATCGACTAACTTAGTAAATTTTGCCTTTTATATGTAGTTACGACTATCTATAATATTTTATAAAAAATTTACTTTACCAGTATGTCTAATAATCAAAGTTGATTGGCTAAAAGGCGTTAGATTATCAGTTAACAAATGTTAAATGACCTTCTATGGACATTTGAATGTGAAATGACCCAATGACCGATCACTAGTCATTTGGGTCATTTCATGTCATTAATCATAATAATTAATGACATCCTTAAAACTGTTGCTGAAATCGAAAATCGTAAAGCGTAAACTTTAATACTGTACCGTATTATGACTTACAGCCATCCGCAGGAGTAGTATCCTGATTCTTCTATATATTAAGTAAAGAAAACAGGAACTTTTATGCAGGTGATTGTACTTATCTGCAATAAGCTTTCAGATATCTTATAGTTATCTTAAGTGGTGGTTAGAATTAACATAATTGCAGAATATTGTGCACGATTAATATTATATCAGGTTTACAGTTTAATGTTTTACGATTTTATAGATTTTGCATGAGATAGATAATTTTTTGTATTAAATACATAACAACATAGAATATTATAACTTATAAATTATGATAAAATATTCAAATCAAAATCATTTAATTAGTAATTGTGTTTGATAATCGTGGAATGGGAGAATCAACCGTTGCTTCTTATAGTGAGCCTATCCCGGTAGATTTAATGGCTCAAGATACAATTGCATTGATTAAGCATCTTGGAATTAAAAGATTTAATTTGTTTGGAACAAGTCTGGGCGGTAAGATTCAAAATTCTAAATATTTAATATTCTTTCAATGATTTTTACCTTTTATATGTAAAAATTTTACAGCTAGAATTGCTTTTGCTGTTGCCTTGAACCTTCCATCTGATTTGAAGTTAGAGAAGATAGTTGTTAGTTCTTGGTACTGTATATATATTATTTGATTAATTTGCAGTATAATCTATACTTAAGTTAACTTTATTATTTTTTATTGAAGTGCTCCTCAAATTGACCCAAATTCAGAAGGGACTCGGAAAATTGAAAAACTTTATGAATTGTCAAGCACTCCTTTTCCTAATAATATCCAGGGACAAAAAGAAAGACTTCTTGAAAGTGAATTTGATCAAGATTTTGCAAAATATCTACATGAACATCCTGATGAACTTGATAGAATTGCAGAGCTCATTGTTAACAGATACCATAGCAGACCATTTGAATTGATGAGTATGTATACTTACATGTGTTTTAATTTATCAATATTAAAGCTTTATCTAATTTGCTATATTTGTAGAACGTCAATGGGAGGCGATTAAAACGTATGAACTGCTGCCAAGACTAAAAGAAATTAAAGTTCCAACTTTGGTAATTCAGGCAGAAAACGATGTATTCTTTTCCACTAAGGAAGCTGAATTACTTGCTAAAGAACTTTCTAATTCAAAACTTTATAAAATTTCTAATGTGGGAAATAAGTAAATATCATTTTTAAAAAAAATTTGTTTGTAAATAATATTATAAAATATTCTAACTTTTTCAAAAAATTTTAGTATTTTTGTAAAAGAACGTGAAGCCACTACCAATGTCATTAGTGAGTTTTTGAATAATTAAATTTTAAGTAATAATTGCTTCTCATCAAAATATATTGGCTAGTTGAATAAATAACATGATTTATAACAATTATGTACTTGATACAAATCTTCGTGATACAAATCATAAAAAATTGTGCACTTTATTGTCATTCATAATGAATCACTAAAAACTCTGATGATTTTGACCAATCAAATTTTAATACCAGATGAATATAAAATCGAAAAAAAAAACATTTTAACATAACAGAATAGCTCAACATTTATTTAAAAAATCATCTCAAAGGCCTAACTAAAAATGCTTCATATGAAGCTTATTTAAAACGGTAAATTATTTTAACCTTAACAATGCGGGTTTACTATCTACTGTATATGCAACCTAGAAAAGTTTGTTTTGATTATCGTTACATCTGATCCTAAATTTTGATTTTTCGAAAATTATAGGGAAAACTTCAAAGCCAAAAGGGCAAATCCGAATACAAGTTAAATTTGTAAAGATTATAATTCTTTAGGGCTAAATTCGTTATGGCAAAACATAAAATTTCGTTTTGCAACACTCAAATGATTATTAGATACGTATGACAAGAATGCAAATAAAAAAATCAAAGACACAGCTTAAATACCATACCGTTCTGAAATAAGCATTTCTTAAGGATGCTTGATTTTGGTTAATTGATATAAATAATTTAAAAAACAAAAACTGAATTAGTGATATGATCCTGAATAGCTTAAAATAATTCTATTCTATATTCAACAGCTAAATTAATGCGAACATGTCCCTCACATTAAATTATAGCCTTGAAAAATTTTTATGTTATGTACACGCCATATATGGTTATTATTTTTGAATCCAGATCAAAATTTTATACGTCATATATAAAATTGTCCGGTTCAAAAATAATTACCCATATTCATGATAAGTGTACATACTATGTGATGCTTATTGTGATGTTTAAGTGCAGGAATTCGCGTTTTTATTGCATCTAATGCATTTTCCAATTAGCCATTGGATTTTGCGAATGCACATCACGTAACTAGTCATAGTAACTATATACTTCGTGATGTTGCACATCAATGACAAAATTCACGAACACGGTACTGTAATACTGAGCCATGATTAGAGGTCGGAACCGGTTGTAAATTTAAGAACCGAATTGGTTGCACATGATCTAAAACCGGCTTCTTTTTTAAGCAAAACCGGGTGGTGTTTAAACCGTATTATAATCGGGTTATGTAACTCGTAATTTAGATGTTATATTTTTTTTATGAATCCACATATTTTTATTTATCCGACAAACTCATATGATCATGGCGCAGTTTTTGCATGTTATTTTTTAACGTATTATGACGTAATGCCGAAT